GGCGTCTCTGATGAAAATGGCCGAGAACGGTAACTTACCGTATATAGACGGCGAACGCAGGGGAATGCATCAGTTTGTAAGAGAAATCTTTTTCGCTAGAATAGCCAGATCGATGTATCTATGGCCTGTTCAGATCTATGCTGGGAATCTTGCAGCAATCGTGGATCGCTGTCTGGGCTTTCTAGCCACCAATCCGGACCGAGTCAATACCGAGATCATCTACTGTCTTGACGATACTAACGCAATACCTATCAGACAGGTACGATTCGAATATCGATACCTTCTCTTTAGAATCTTATGCTCCTTTTCACACTCACTTTCATCCTCTCCAGAAAGAGAATGAGCCTGCAAGAGGTAATCTCCGCCTACATCTAATCTCCCTTTCAGTTTCTAGAGCAACGAGTTCAGTCTTCGCGGTTTTCTGCAAAACACGAAGTTTCATTCGAGAAATCCTTCCTTCAACACTATCTGTCCCACATCAAATACAGTATCGGACTAGAGGTTAACACACTAGAACATTCAGTGCAAAGATTTTCACTCTTATCAAGCCATTTCACTCAGGTCTCGAAGGAAACGCTCTCATATCCCATGTTCCGTTTTCTTTTCGCGAAGACCATCGGATTCAGTGATAGAAAACAACGACTATTACTCGACCACCTACCAGAGGTAAATTCAGTGGGACCATCTAAAAAAGATTGAATTCATACTTTGTAGAGAGATCCTTGAAAAAAAAACCGTCGAAAACTCCTGTTACGGGCCAGCGATATGAAGAATAAAATCGTTGAATCATTCGAATCAGAGTGGTCCTCTTTGGAGTTCACCACTTGCGCTCACTAGCTAGAGAGCCCCTTCGCAATCGCTTTTCCTTGACTGCATTTTTTGTTGTGTATCAGGCATTACAGCGCTGAACGAATACAATATTACTTCGAGGAGAATATCACATTAAAAATGAAAATATCGGCCTAGCATACTCGGGATTGATACAGTTATGCGATCACTTCCGATTGAATCTTAAGCAATTAGGTGTTCAGAACTCATTCAGGATGGGCGGAGCACAGGCGGCGGAGGCGGAGCTCAGGGAGGATTGGCAACCCTTGGGCGCTGAACTTGCGCGCATTTAGCCTCGAAAGGCCACATCTGGCTTCTTTAGACCCCTGACTACTCCTTCCACTGTACTTCCATGCTTGCACACGCACCTTATCGATATCTCTCTTTAAATATAAAATGAGGAAAAAACTGTTTCAGATAGCACCATCGGAGGCGATGAAGCGTTCCCTACATATGCAAAAAGAAACTTCAGGAGTTCAAAGACAAGCTGCACGAAGTGGATAATCGTGGTCGAACTGGATGCATAAATATTACTTTATATTGTATTCATAACGGTTGTGAATAAAATAAACCGTTTCTATCATATATGGGGAACGATCTGTGCGCGACATGAATTATATGTACAAATTGTGAACTGTGTGCAGGACTCCAGGCCCTATTTCTAAGGTCGTGGGGTGTTTGTGTTTGCTCAAGTTGAGAAGAACCCAGCTAAGTTGTCTGTTCTGAATCAGTCGATTTTTGTCGCATGAAAGCTTATTTGGTAGTGAAGCAAACCCTTACAAGGCAACGCACGCGGAGGTCGTATCTGGGCCTGTATTGCCTGATGTCGGTCCTAAACTATCAACGACCAATAAATGATTTTGACTGTTGAAATATTACGTCATAATGTTACTTAACATTTTCGTTTGAATAAGAACACCCACAAAATTCGTGCGAGTGCGCCTCGCAGAAGAGTTGCCCAATACGAAGGCAAGTCTTTACGTGTGTGGAGCACCTTAGCATGTGCAGTACCTGCTCGGCCAAGAGCGAGTCAGAAGCTTAAAAATGGTTAAGATACGCAATCATCAACGTAACTCACCTATTAGCTTTTAACTTAGATGTTCTGCATTGGGATTCTGTTAGCGGGCATGTTAAGGAAAGTTGTCGAGAAAACATCTTGACAAAGAAGTATGGACGTTCAAGAATGGCACTTCGTTTCAGTGAAACCAACCTAATAATATCAAATGACATGTGCAGCTTCGCATGAATAAAGTAGTAGGGTACTTAACATTGAGGGAGTGGTAGCCATTCTAAGAATAAGTGGCTCAAGGATCATGTGAAGAAAGTGCTGCTCAAGACGTATGATCCTCATGACGTGCTCACAACGTGCGTCAGAAATTTCATATTATTCAAGGTTTTAGATGCAATGAGAACACTACCATTTCATATTTGATGCACTACAAAACTTTGCACTACAAAATACTCAATTAATAAGCTGACAAATCTACTTCACATGAGTTAGACTCGCTCAGTAGCCACACTTCCGTGGCGAGCGAAAAAGTTCCATCCGGCAATCTTGGATCGGCGTTTATTACAGTGGAAGCCTCTGTACGCAAATGTCGACCATGTAAATGTTTTGTGCACACCATCGAGGGATCATCGAGGCATCTGCGATTTGGGATCAAAAAACGATTTCCTGAAGTCTAGATAGTTCCATGGTAATTGACGATCACACGATCACTTGCATTCTCACACTTGCATGAGACTGCCTCGCAGTTATGGCCAGATGGTAATGAACGACAGAATTTTTCGACTGTAGCGGGTTGTCAATGGCTATTTACAGCAATTTGGCTCATTGAACGTTGATACGACACTCCCGCATCGTATGAATGATTCCAGAAGCTTGCTGTGAAGCGGATATGTAAGCGCATTTGACAGATGGAAGTAAGAGATATTGTAGTTCACACTTGTGTCGAGAGCGCCTCTCCTAATTGTTCCAGCTTTCGCGTCTCATTTAAATAGGTTACTGTACACTAATTCTTGCAATATAAAAACAGTACGCTTCAAAGCATTCCGCAGTCAAGTTCGAGACTATTTAAACGCCACTGCAAACGTGGACGGCCTGACGTTCGACTTGGTGACGTCCCTAAGGATTCGAGAGCTTCTTCTGCCGTGACAATCTTCTCCTTACCCGCGAAAAAAAACAACGTTTCACAACATTAGTAGAGGTATCTGTAGAGGTTGCTATGAACTTTGGACCTTTTGGCGCTCAATCCACTTGTTCCAGTATTTCTCCGGTCCTTAGATCCTCCTGTTGCGTGCTGAGACAAAGCAGTAAAAGTACAATTGAAGAGAGTTTCAGCGCATTCTTTAAGTGGAATCAAATTCACTGTTCAAGAACGTTCAGGCATTCACAGCTTTTTCCAAGGCTTACGACAAACCTTTCATTGATGCACCATCGATAGATGTTCTATACGCCATAACAATAACGGTAACTCATCAGCCTTTGAGCTGTACGCTGGGGATTTGCAGATGCTGATTTTACGCAGCCAATTGAACTCTGACTATTTCTGAAAGTGATTACGGACAGACGAATATGAATTCACGGCATATACCGTCTCGTAGAGGTGAAAACCTTTCATACTATTACATTACTCCCCAACTGGCTCAGAGGTTATGTATGCATACGTAGAAACATAAGAATGCTCAGCTTCAAAGTGGAATTTTTACATTCTATAAGAGAATGTGAGGTTATGTGATTTTGCGGGCTTATGAGGTTAAGGCCTGTGGAGGCTTATAAGACACTTCGGCAGACATTGGTGCCGTGTGCCGGCCTGGGCTATTTCCCATTCTTGCAAAAACCGTTCCGTTTCTGCATTCAAATAATATACGAAGTTCCTGTTTATTGAAAAGCAAAATTCGAAGAGATTTGTTCAAGTACATAGGTAAGAGTAGTAGCAGTTACAACATAATTCCAGCCGTGAATTCTGTGGTCGTCCCCAGACACTTTAAAATTATACAGTTAACTTAATTTAGGAAGTTACTTGACAAGTAGAAGGTCTGTTAGCATAAACGCTACAAATGGTTAGCAAGCAAAATAGTCCTACCCTGAGTTGACGGTAGCATTAGCTGAAATATTTAATAACTATGGGAAACAAAACGTGGACTGTGTAGAGTCACGAACGAAAAACAAGTAGGTGAATCGTTTCGACATCATGTGACCCGATGAAATTCTACTTTGACCACGGCGCAATGTGGCTCGGGGGAGGGGCAGTCGCCGCCGCGGCACTCTCGGCAGCAGGAAATTCGTGAGCCAGGGGGAATGTAGCCAATTCAGGGGGGGGGGGGTCGGGGGTGAGGGCAGTCACTTGACATGCGTGAGAAGCTAGAATGTTTGAATTCACAATTAAGGACGAGTTGAAGTGGTCCGTCCACCGTCGGGGACTCCATCCCCTCCCCAACATTCAGCATACGGTCCCAGCCAAAGCGCCAAAAGGGCTGGTTTGTTTACGTCGACGTCACAGCCTTTGCAACTACTGCTGTCTGCTGCCCAGCCTCTGTCTCGCTGCCCACATCCTTGGCACAACTAGATCCTGCCGCGCGGATATGCTGGTAATGATTCGCAGACAGCCAACACGCTCCGAAATTGCACTTGTAGTGTTGAGGAAGGTAGTGGATGAGCCCATAACGATTGCGACAGTACACAGCATTTTCGAGATCACTCATGGCACTCGCTATCGATGACGCTTTGTTTGGCGAGTAGTCACTTTTCTTTATCAACCTTCC